GGGTCTGGAGAAGTAGGGTAGCCAAAGAGGAAGGTGCCCAATGGCCTTTGGGAAACAGCCTATTTCATGGCTCTGGGCTAATGAGCTGACTTATAGGTTCAGCCCTTCATTTGATTCCTACAAACCGCTAGTCAGAGAATGTGGGATGGGGTGTTCTGGGGGAGGGAGGAAGCTCTGATCAGAGCAGCTTGTCCCTTGGTCCAGTCTAAGGGAGGCAGAGGAGAGCCTGGGAAGCTGAGCAAAGTTGATAAGCATCTTCCTTTCTGGATGGAAGCAGCACTGTGACCTGCAGGGGAAGGGTACAGAGCAGATCCTGGGATACTCAAGTACAGAGGTGTGGACTTGCCTGCCACCCCCATGGGGCAGGCCAGCTCTAGTAAGGTGGGAGTGGGGAAACTCCAGATCTTTCTAAAATTCAGAGAGACTGGGGTTCTAATCCTGGCCCTGCTGTGAATTCCTAGTACACCCTTAGGCAAGTCCCAGTTTCCTTGTCTATAGAATCAGGGGCCTTGGATCCATGGGTGCCCAGGTCTGAGTGGAGAGTGAGGAGGTTCCCCACAGAAGAATGCAAAGGGAGGCCAAAATTGTCAGATCCAGGTGGGTTCCTCTGCCTCCTCCCTCTTCCCACCCCCCGAAATGGAGACAGTCACCCAGGAGAGGTGATTAAACTGATCAGAGGATGTTTGCACATGAATATACTTCATAATTTACAAAGCTCTTTAGAACACACGTTCTCATTTGATCTTCACAGCAACCCTGTGAGGGAAGGTGGGGCTGGCACTGCTATTGTTGTTATCATTTTGCACCTGAGGGAGCCAGGATCACACAGTGAGGGAGCCAGGACTCAGTCCCAAAGCTTTTTGGTTTATACCACACAATGACACTGAACAACAGGGAGCTGTCCGTGAATGCCATGGGGGATGGGAAGACCAGAAATAGGGAGATGTGGGTGCTGGCCTGGTTTGTGCCTCCTTGCTCTAAGGCCTGAACATTTCTTTTATCAGATCACCACTGCCTGTCCGGGCCAGCCCCACTGGGTTGCTGTGAGATGAAGGGAGGGGGAGGGCGACGACACAGGTGGCTCACAATCTAACGTGAGGGCGCTCTGCAGCAGTGGGCATGAAGACGAGCGTCCCGGGCCCTGGGGCATGTTAGAGCCTGAAAGGAGCTTTGAAATTGTCTAGCTCATCCAACAGAGGTCAAGAAATGAAACCAGACAGGCTTGCCTACATGCAAAAAGAAAAGAAGAAAACACTACAGAGTATGGTTTTTCGAGCCAATTTTTAGGTGGGGAGAGAGGAAATTATTTGAAAGGTTGACTGGGAAGGCAGAGATGGCTAATGTCCCCATCCCTGTGGGAGGCCCACTGGAGGCCCAGTAGGAAGCCTGCCCACTGTTCCCACTCCAGTGACACAAGTGACAGCCAGGGAGCTCTGTGCCACTGGAGCGAGTGGACAGGAGGAGCAATGACTAAACAAAGAGGACCAGCACCAGGCAGGTGGAGCAAGGTTTCAGATTTCCGCAGAGCCAGCCCAGGTTCCAGGTCTTCTGTGGGCGGGCGGGGAGCCACCTGCAACACAGCAGAGGCGCAGTGACGGAGCCCCACAGAAATGCCCGATGGCATTTAATGGGAATGGGCACAGCCAGCACACAGGGTGGAGTGCAGGTGTGCAGGCTCCTGCCCTTCCTGCCCAAAGCAGCCATTCGAAAGCAAAAATAGGTAAAAGAAAAACAGAGAGGAGGAAGAGGAGGAGGGGAAGACAGTGGTGAGAGGAGCCTCATGAACCCGCAGAGCCACTGAGCAGGTGAGGAGCAGTGAGGATGAAGGGCCCACACCCGAAAACCCACAGGAAGATGCTCTCCTTTTCTGCATTTCTAGATTTTCTAAATTTTCCATGATGGAGATGCATCAATTTATAATAATAACCTTATTTTTTAATTAAAAAAATTTTTTTTGAGGAAGATTAGCCCTGAGCTAACATCCACTGCTAATCCTCTTTTTTTGCTGAGGAAGACTGGCCCTGAGCTAACATCTGTGCCCATCTTCCTCTATTTTATATGTGGGATGCCTGCCACAGTGTGGCTTGATGAACGGTGGTAAGTCCATGCCTGGAATCCAAATCAGTCAACCCCAGGCCACTGAAACGGAGCATGTGAACTTAATTGCTACACCACTTGGCCAGCCCCAATTTTTTATTTTTTTATTGTGACATAATTGACATATAATATTGTGTAGGTTTAAGGTATACAACGAGTTGATCTGATATTTATAAATTGCAATATGATTATGACCATAGCATTAGCTCACACCTCCATCACATCAACATAATTATCATTTCTTTTTTGTGGTGAGAACATTTAAGATCCAGTCTCTTAGTAACTTTGAAGTATAGAACACAGTATTGCTAACTATAATCACAATGCTGTACATTGGATCTTCAGAACTTACTCACCTTCTAACTGAAGTCTGTACTCTTTGACCAACATCTCCCCATGTCCCCCACCCGCAGCCCCCCGTAACCACCATCTACTCTGTTTCTATGAGTTCAGCTTTTTTAGATTCCACATATAAGTGATATCATACAGTATTGGTCTTTCTCTGACTTATCTCTCACTTAGCATAATGCCCTCAAGTTCCATCCGTGTTGTAGTGAATGGCAAGATTTCCTTCTTTCTCGTGGCTGAATAATATTCCATTGTATATATTGTAGGCGAGCAGAATTTGTCACCCCAAAATACAGATCGTCTCTGACTTACGATGGTTCAACTTACAATTTTTCGACTTTATGTTGCTGCAAAGGTGATAGACATTCAGTAGAAACTGTACATGGAATTTTGAATTTTGATCTTGTCTTCAGGGTAGCAATGTGCAATTTGATCCTCTCTGGTGATGCTGGGCAGTGGCCACAGCTCTCAGTCAGCCACGCGGTCACGGGGGCAAACAACCAATGCGCTTACAACCATTCTGCACCCGTACAACCATTGTGTTTTTGACTTTCAGTACAGTATTCAATAAACCACATGAGATATTCAACACTTTATTATAAAATAGGCTTTATTGTAGATGATTTTGCCCAACTGCAGGCTAATGTGAATGTTCTGATCATGTTTAAGTTAAGCTGGGCTAAGCTATGATGTTTGGGGCATTAGGTGTATTAAATGCATTTTTGAATCACAGTATTTTAAATTTATGACGAGTTTATCAGGACGTAACCCCATCATAAGTCAAAGAAGATCTGTATGTCTCTTTAGAATAAAGATTATTTTAGGCTGACTCTTTTTTTTTGGCAAAACATCTATTTTTTTTATTGAGTTCATAATAGTTTACATCATTGTGAAATTTCAGTTGTGTGTCGTTTCTTGTCTGTCACCACATAAGTGCTCCTCTTCAGCCCCTGTGCCCACCTCTCACTCCCCTTCCCCTGGTAACCACTGAACTGTTTTCTTTGTCCATGTGTTTGTTTATATTCCACGTATGAGTGAAATCATATGGTGTTTGTCTTTCTCTGGCTTATTTTGCTTAGCATAATAGCCTCCAGGTCCATCCATGTTGTTGCAAATGGGATGATTTTGTCTTTTTTATGGCTGAGTAGTATTCCATTGTGTGTGTGTGTGTGTGTGTGTGTATATATATATATATATATATATATATATATATATATGTATATGTATATGTATACCACATCTTTTTTATCCAATCATCAGTCAATGGGCACTTGGATTGTTCCCATGTCTTGGCTATTGTGAATAGTGCTGCAGTGAACATAGGGGTACATAAGTTAATTTGGATTGTTGACTTCAAGTTGTTGGGTAGATACCCAGCAGTGGGATAGTTGGGTCATATGGTATTTCTATTTTTAGTTTTTTGAGGAACTCTATACTGTTTTCCATAGTGGCTGCACCAGTTTGCATTCCCACCTAGGCTTGTTATTTTTAAGGAATAGCAGACATAGGAGAAGCTCTAAAAACCAAGTATAAGTTACCCTTTTAAAAGACATTTACATTTATAAGGGTGTTTCCCTCACTGTAGCAGGTAGATGGGGATGACTCAACCTCTAGAAACTCAAGCAATAGAGAAGGCAACCACATAAATCTGCATAACAACCTTACTCTTGTTTACTGTGCTTTTCCTGGTAACTTTCAGTGACTGATCCCTCCCACTGCAACATCTTCTTTTGTCTTTAGCTGAAGATGATATTTAAGGTGATGGCTTCAGCTGTTTTGGCATGTTACTCAGTTTTTCTGGGTCTCTTCCATGTATACAGGAGGCATATATGTTATTAAACTTTTGTTTGTTTTTTCTCCTGTTAACCTGTCTAATGTCAATTTGATTATTAGACCAGCCAAAGAACCTAGAAGGGTAGAGGGAAAATTCTCCTCCCCTACAATATATACCACACTTCTTTGGCCATTCATTTGTTGCCAGACACTTAGGCTGCTTCCATATCTTGGCTAATGTGAATAATGCTACAGTGAACATGGGGGCACAAAAATCTCTTCCAGATAGTGATTTTACTTCCTTTAGATATACACCCAGAAGTGGAATTGCTGGATCATATGGTAGTTCTATTTTTAATTGTGGGGGGAACCTCCATACTGTTTTCTATAGTGGTTGAACCAATTTACATTCTCACTAACAGTGTGCAAGGGTTCCCTTTTCTTCGCTTCCTTGCAAACATTTGTTATCTCTTGTCTTTTTGATCATAGCCATATAATGACAACTTTAAAAAACACAATGGGGGCTGGCCCTGTAGCCTAGTGGTCAAGTTCGTGTGCTCTGCTTTGGTGGCCCAGGGTTTCGCTGGTTCAGGTCCTGGGCGTGGACATGGCAACACTCGTCAGGCCATGCTGAGGCAGCGTCCCGCATGCCACAACTAGAAGGACCCACAACTAAAATATATAACTATGTACTGGGAGGATTGGGGGAGAAAAAAAGCAGGAAAAAAAAAAAGAAGATTGGCAACAGTTGTTAGCTCAGGTGCCAATCTTTTAAAAAAAAAAAACTCAATGAAAGAGGGGAAAAAGACCAGAAAGATATACAGCAAAATCTTAGCTGCTAAAAAAGAGACAACAGGCGCAAAATGGAGTCACTTATGCTAAGCCCCAGGCCAGCAAACCAAGACTCAACACCTAGCCTGACTGCAGTTTCAGCCTCTCCCAGGAGTGGGATTTTAAACCAATCAGTCCAGAATTACCTGATCAACACTAGTGAAGTAATCTGCCTGATAAGACTGCCTGCCGTTCCTGGCCTCTAAATGACCTTGCCCAAAACAATCCAGCTCTTTATTTTTATAACTTCCTCATTCTACCCCCTTCCACCTGTTGTCAAAATGGACTATAGTGGAGCCATTTTAAAATGGAGGCAGAGCTGCCTCTCCAGAGAAACTACTGCCTTGCTGTCTTGAACCTGGGACTGGGCCAAACCTTTGGACTGGGCCAAAATGGCCACTGTTTTACAAGCAATTGTTTGGGAAGTCATCAGGAAAACGGACATCTTGATCACAAAGACCAAGGACTGTGGATTTTCTGAAGATAGAATCAATGGCCAATCATTGTTTAGCCAAGACTAGCTTCTGCCTCCAACTCAATTAAAATTCTTTGTAGCACAAACTTCCCTTCTTTGCCTTTCAAAGCCCCTGATTTTTACTCCCTTGTGGGACACTACCTGGTTGATCCTGAATCTCTGCTCCCCAAATTGTGGTTCTTTGATCCCAAATACACACTTTGTCTCTTAAATGCTTTTTTGCAGGTTGACACTATAAAAGCCTTCCGTTTTGTACCACTCCTTGGACTCCCTTCTGTTTACTAGATGGGATGCTGCCTGATTCATGAATCATTTAATAAAGCCAATTAGATCTTCTAATTTACTCCGTAGGATTTTTGGCTTTTAGCATAGCAGAGATTTCTTCTGGGATGAGGGAACTATCAGTGGTTTTTCTTTTGTGCCTTTTCACTTTTCTGTTCTTTCCAAATTATCTAGAACGAGCACAAATGATCTTGACAACCACAGGAAAAAAAAAATACAAAAGAGTGCCTCCCTGTCCTTAAAACAACAAAAACAAAGAATACTGAAGGGAGAGAGGCTGAGGCCAGTCAGGGTGAGCCAGTGGGGGAGGGAGCGAGAGGGGAAGACGAGGCCCGGGAAAGTGAGGGCCTGTTTTGGGGGCAGCTATGAAGCGCTTCCCAGTCATCCTGAGGGGCCATCCTGAGTGGGCCCTGCCCAGCTGCCCAAAGCTCTCAGGCCAGCAGCCGAGAAGTCCTGCTGGGCAGCTTCTGGCCGGTCTCCACGGTGCTCCAGTCACTATCCTCCTAGCGCATCCAGGCCGCCCTCCCCAGACCTCCCTCCGGCCTCTGCCAGCAGGCTCCTTAAGACAATTTAATGGGGACCTGATTCCAGAGAGGCTGATTTTGAGGGGATCATGTTGGGCTTATTGTGTGGTTGGGGCCCTTAAAGGAGGAGAGAGAAGACAGGAAGAGCAGGGAGGGCCCAGCCACACAGCTGGCAGCCAGGCCCAGAGGACCAGCCGGTAGCAATAAGTAGCTTGTTAGCACAGAAGAGAGAACAGCTGTGCTAGATAAAGATGCCTTTATTGTCTCTTCCCAAGATGAACAGAGGTTCTAACAGAGCTTCATTTACCCCCAGACAGGCCGGGAAGAGGACAGAGAGGGAGCAAAGATAAAACCACACCCTCAGGAGTAGAAAAAAGCAAGGTGGGGCTGGGGAGGGACTGGGAGGGCATCAAGAGGGCAGAACAGGGGCTCAAGGAGGGGCTAGGGGGACAAGGAGGGCATCAGGAGGAGGGGCAGGGTACAAAACGGAAGGCTTTTATAGTGTCAACCTGCAAAAAAGCATTTAAGAGACAAAGTGTGTATTTGGGATCAAAGAACCACGATTTGGGGAGGGGCTAGCAGGGCATCAGGAGAGCAGGTCCAGGGCAGCGGCTGGGAGGACTGGGAGGGCCTGAGGAGGGTGGGGTCGGGGCTCACGAAGCCCCGGCTGCAGCAACGAAGATGTCCTGGTAGCCCTTGATCTCCTTGACCTCGTTGCTGCTGATGAGGACTTGCAGCTGGCGGGGTCCAGCTTTGATGGGGTAGAGGTCCAGTTGAATTTGGATGGTGTGTCCAGGCAGTAGAGTCCCAAGCCTGAAAGTTTAAAAGATCCTATTAGAACCTTGAGGAGTAACTGCTGGGGTGGGTGATCGGGTTTCCCCTCTTGGTCGGTAAGCACCTCTCACCCCCTGACACCACAGAGCTCAATCTTCCCTGAGGAGGGTGGGAAGGTGGGGGCAAGGAGGCACCATCCAGGAGACTGAGGGCTGTCCTTTGACCCCATGAGGCACCCCTTATCAGAGACCAGCATGAGACAGGTGGATGGCGATGGTACTTACTCATTTGATATCTGCCCGTCGATGAGGCCACTTCCCTCCAGCACCATCACGCAGTTACTCAGAGCCACCGTTAGGTTGTTGGTGAGGGTGATGTGGACTCCCAGTGCCTTGCCCACCTCAGCCCTCTCAGACGCCTGTATGGAGAGAAGGCAGGGATATTGTCAGCAACTGGCCTCATTTCTGCACTGCAACTCAGTAACCTCACTCGCCCTTCCCTCTGTTGCCCCCCCAGGGACTGCTTACTTAGAGCTAAGAGCTGCAGGTGGGAGAGAAGAATATGAGCTGAGAGTATTCAGGGTTAATACATATCCTGGTCTGTCTTAGAAGGTCACAATACTTCACCTCAAATGGGAATTGGCACGAAGTGGAAATCTGTTTCCTCTCCCACCATCTAGTTCAGGATGGCAAATAGATTTCAACTTAAGTGCCAGCTCCAACCTGTTCGTTGTGGCTAATAGGAATGCTGTGTTAAACAGGATCCCGAGGACAAATCCAGAGTCAGTGAGACAGTGATGATTGATTAGCAGTGTCTGACACAGGCATGGGATAAGGAAGTGGTGTCATGTGTACCATCCATGTGTCATCAGTAAGGTCAATCTGAGGCTGAGGTCACAGAATATGTTAATGGCAGAGCCAGGACCTGACCCAGGTGTCCCAGGCCTAGCCAGGATCTTTCCCCCACACTGCTCTGTCTTCATATACATGAGCAGACACACTCTGAGTTTTTCCAGGTGCGTTCAGTGCATCACATGTGAGGTCTGTGTCATTGGGCAGCAAGGCCCTGGCCTCCAGTGGGAGGCAGGGATTCAGTCTGACTCTTTTCTAGTGCCCTGGTGCCCAGGGCAGTGCCAGCCAAACGATGGATATTCAGTAAATGAGTGTTGAACTGAAATGAGCTCAGACCACCCAGATCATATTGGGCGCACGTTCTGGCTCAACCAGAGAATCGAAGAGAAGGAAGAACACATTCTGACTTCTTTGGAATCCAAAAGAAAGCAGCAAGTCCCTTGTGCTCTAATGAGAGTGTCAAGGTAGAACAGTAGAAATAACTTTGGAATGCAGCATAGTCACACAAATCATACCCTGATCCCTTACCACTGGGGACCAATTAATTGCCTACTTGGCATCTGATGTGTTTGCCTCGGATCCTGTTGTAACCAGCCCTTGGGTAACAGGCAGGACCCTCACCTCAGCACCAGGCCCTGTCTGCACTTGCCATTCTGCCCGCTGTTTGCCCCACCGTGGAGGCTGCCCAGCATCACTTGGCCTGACAGGCTGACAGCATGCCTGGGTGAAAACTGTCATGTGGCCATATAGTTTATGAGACGGAGCCACTCAGTTCTCGTTGTGGGTGGGGGTGGGGTGTGCTGTGGAGGAATCCACCAGCTGCAAAGCCAGATGGGACTGGGCAGTGAGCAAGTCTTTCAGAGAGGGCCGGGGAGGTGGGGTAAGGAGGCTTCAGGGGAAGAAAAGCCCTGGTAATAGGAGATGGCGAACTCGAAATCTGAGGCTCACCTTTCATTTGTTTCCCTCTTCTTTGTCACCCCCATCTTATCAGCAGTCACCTTTTGAATTTGGCCTTGTGGTCTCTCTCAAATCTGCCTCCTCTATTCCATCTCCCAGTCACTGTATTTCTTGTCTCCTTTGTTCCTGCAAAGCTATTTCCTTACTTAAAATGCCCTCATCTCCATCTCATTTGTCTACACAGCGTCTTCCTATACATCCCCTGCAAAACATCACCCGCTCTGGGAAGCCTTCATGCCCTGCCCTGCACTGTGCACAGAGCACAAGAGAACACACTGCGCTTTAATCATCTGATTGGTGGTTGAGGCAGGGACGGTGTCTCATTCGCTGCTGTATCCCAGCCCCTGGGTAGAGTGAGTCGGAGGGCCCCTGGGCCTCATCTCTGCCCAGATGCCTTACCTTAATAGATAGGTGGGGGGGCTCCAGAGAGATATCTTTTAGGACCAGCATGGACCTCCCTGTTTCCTTGACCTTGGCGATGCCAGACACACGGATTAGCTTTTCATCTGTCAGCTTGTTTCCGTAATTGTTGAAGGGTAGCAAGAGTGGCCACTCTATCTCTAAGCACAGACAAAAGACAACTTGAGTCCAGGGAAAGGGTCTCTGAGAGAGAGAGGGGTGGGGGGAAGAAACATGTATGTGAGAGAGAATGTGTGTGTGTGTGTGTGTGTGTGTATACGTGTGTAATAAAGAGACAGACAGTGTGCTTACCTACCCACTGCCCCGGGAGGTCACTGCTATGTTTCACCTGGTGGGATGGCGCCAGAGATACAGCACCTGGCATTCAACCTTCTGCCAACAGCAGCTTCACCACCCGGCATGTGTGTGTTGGGGGTGCAGGGTCTCTGTGTAATCTGCCTGGGCCAGCCCAGCTTTGTTCACGGCCCCAAGGCTCCCCTCCCTTTAGGTGCCTTTCCAGGCCTGCCTCATACTCACCCTGCCCAAAGTCCAGGTTCAAGTGCACTGTTTGCCTCCAGAGGGGCTCCCGGGCGCCACCCTTGTGCAACAGGGCCTGCGCACAGAAGCGCACCTCCAGTCTGATGGGCGCTCGGGGATGTGCTCTGTCTGCCACCCTCCGGGCATGCAGCTTCAGCAGCAGGTCCCGGCCCCACTCAGGCATCCTGGCCAGGTGAAGCTGCAGCTGCGCCGGCTGATCCTGAAAGTCCCCGGACCCCAGCAGATCCAGGAAGGGTGAAGAGGCCCTTCCTGGGCCCAGCATTTTCTGGGAAGCCTTCATGAACACAGATCGCTCCTCAGGGGATCCTGGCAGAAAGGAGAGCCAGGAAAGACATCAGTGGGGAGGAGTCGAGAGGCCAAATGACCTTCTTTGGGAAAGAAGCCACCCAACAACTCCCAGCTCCCATTCCAAAGTCCCAACCACATGATTAGCTGCATAAGGAGGCAATACGGTATCATGGCTGAGAACGTGGGGACTGGTGTTGCTGGGTTCAAATCCTTGCTCTATCACAATCCCTTAATCTCTTGGGGCCCAGTTCTGTCATCTATAACCCAGGGATGTCTCCTTGCTTCATAGAGTTGCCAAAAATTTGGGTTAAATGAGTTGCTGAATATAAGCACCCAGTGCTGTTCTTTGTCATCAGTATTGCCGCCATCATCACTATCATCATCGTCAAAGCCAGAGGCTTCTCTCCCCCACCAGCATCCTCACTTCTAGAATATATGCTCAAGCCTTTTAAACAGATCTTCTCGCCCCTGGGGGCTACTCAACATTCAGGCTTAACCCCAACTCACCCCAAACTGTGGACGTCTCTAGAAGAGTTGCTATGCACCAGAGATGCTGTTCCAAGTATTTTCCGTGTATTCACTCATTTAACCCTCACAACAGTCCTCTCAGGTACTGTTGACCCATTTTACAGATGAGGAAATGGAGGCACAGGGGTGCTAAGAATGTGTCCAGGCTTATATGACGGGAACACGGCAGGGCGTTGATTTACTCAGGCAGCTTGACTCCATCCTGGCCTTCTTCACAGGGACGTCTACTCCCTTCCACAGACCCAGGAGCCCTTCCCCCCTTGAGCCTCCCCCTCTCCCCTTGCTGCCACCCCCACTGCCATGACATAAGGACACCATGATGTGACCCTAGGATAGAGCTGCAGATACAATAAAGGACTTTTAATTTAATTTGAATTTCAGATAAACAATGAATAATTTTTAGCGTATGTCGCATGCAATATCTGGGACACACTTGTACTAATGAAATATTTGTTTATCTGAATTTATCTAGAATTCAATTTAACGGGGCACTCTGTATTTTTATTTGCTAAATCCAGCCACCCTACCCTGGGGCCACATGGCCAGGGTCCAGGAAAGCCCTGGGAGTTTGCCATGAAGAGGAGGTGATTAAGTGGTGATGGTTTTAATATGGGAGCCACCTCCACTGGGAGGCAACACACAGAAGGTCATACTGGCCCCATCCCCAGGTCCCCAGGAGCCAGGCACCTTCTGGGTACTTGTAGGAGCTGGTGATGTTCTGGCGCTGGTCTGAGCCTACCATCTTAGTGCTGATTTCGTTCCCGATGGAGCTGGTGTTATGGGCCAGAATTTCCTGGGCCTGGCCATCCCCGAAAAGCCAAATGACTTCATCGGCATTCACCTCAGCGTACACAAATGGGGTGTCATAGGGCAGCTGGACCTCCCCTTCCTTGATGGCCTTCACGGAGGCAGGGCCGCAGCAGAACAGCCCTGTGCAGGGAACAAGGGTTGTGGACGGCTAACACGGCTGCTGACACACGGACCAGGGGCAGCTGGTCGCGGCCATGGGAAGTAGGGAGATGGGATGGGGAGGGGCAGTCGCATTAAGACCCTCATCTGCAGAGTGCTTTCCAGTTCCCCTTAATTCATCTGATCCTCACAGCTACCCTGTGGAGCGGCAGTTACCATCATCATCTTCCCCACTTTGCTGGTGAGGAAACAACAGAGAGGTCTAGTGACACATCCCAGTCACCCAGCTGTCAATGGCAAAGTTAGACTCCTGACATGAAGTTGCCTCTTCTGTGACTTTGGGAAAGGACGAAGTGGGGAAAGCACAGGTCTTTTCTGGCCTCTTGCTCACGTCGTCAGTCACCCTGATCGCCCTCCACGCGGAGCCCAGACCCTTCCACAGTGGTCACTACTCACCGCTGCTGGTTTGCTGGGGAGTGGGGTCTAGAACCTGCCACCCATTGTATCCTGGTGGGAGATCTTTCCGGATCATCCAGCATTCATTCCAGACGTGGAAATTCCTGCAGACAGAGTAAGGAGACAAGGACTCACATTTTCAGAGTATTTGCCAGGTATCAGACACTATACTGAGTGATTTACATCATTGTTTCTTCCCTTTTGATTTTTACCTTTTATTTGGAAGGAATTTCAAGCTTACAGGAAAGTTGCAAAAATAGTACAAAGAACACCCATGCACCCAATTCATCTATTGTCAACAATTTGCCCCATTTGCTTAATCATTGGCTTTCTCTCAGGATGGATATGGAGATTATATACACATTTTTTAATTCAGTGCGTATTTCCTAAGAATAGGGGTCTTCCCTTACATAATCCTGAACAGTTATTAACCTCATGCATTTAATATTGTTATAATACTCTTATCTAATTTACTGTCTATATTTCGATTTTGTCCATTGACCCAATAATGTCCTTCACAGCATTTTTTTCCCACCCAGTCCAGGATCCAGTTTATGACCACACATTGCACTTAGTCCAGTAACCTTTGTCTCCTTTGATCTGGAACCGTTTCTTAGCCTTGGTTTTATTACAGTGACATTTTGAATAGTCTTTATTTATTTTTACAGAGGGGCCCTCGATTTGGGCTTGTCGGGCATTTCCTCGTGGTCACATTCAGGTTTGTATTCACAGAATTCTACAGAAGTGATCTATCCTTCTTAGACACACCTCTGCTGATTGAAGCAGAGGGTTTTAGCCATCAAGGAGCTCAGAGAGGGAGGGGGCTCCAAGGACAGCAGCTAGTTCTCACGCAACTCAAAGGTTCTTACCTGGAAAGTGGCTGGAAAAGGAAAAACAGGAAATCAGATTTGGCGTAGAGCAGAGGAGAAAGGAGCCAGGGGAAGAGACTAGAGATACAAAAACAAAGGGACACAGAGAGGTACACACACACAGATATACACACATCTACACATGCACGCAGAGAGGGAGTGAGACAGCGAGAGGAAGTAGCATACAGAAGCAGCAAGTCCAGGCTTTGCCCTGACAGGGAAACAGAGAATGGTGCAAACAGAAAGACTCAAAGAAGGAAGAGTAAGATAAATACAGATTTTGAGGTCAGTATTCAGAGGACACAAGTCTATTCATTTGGTTGTCAGCTTCAGAATCTTATCCCCTAGTCATCTATCTCTGAAATGAGTTTGATATGATGATCTAATTAACCGGAACAGCCTCCTGGGTTGAGGAATTACTCTGGGAGCGTCAGCAGCAGTATATGGGGCAATATTGCCTGAAGGCCAGAGAGAACCAGGTCAGAGATATCCCTGCTTGGGATGGAGCCAAGATCTGTTCGAGACAGTGGCCCTTACCATATTTTGTCTTGTTTCTGATTTGGCAGCATCTCTGCATTTCGGTTATAGTAGGTGTCAATGGTCAAGTTCCCATCCGCGTTGTGTGCAGAACGGAAATTGGAGACAACACGAGTTGGAACACCTAAGCATCTCATTACTAAAAGGAAGAAAAGCATGGGGAATCACTGAGTTCTTTTCAAGCAGAATCATTGGTTTCCCACGCATACTTTCTAACTTTCTAGCTGGAGGAGAGAAAGAGAGCCAAGGTTTCTGCATATCCATACCTGTAACCCTGTTATACTTAGAGCACCGTACCCAGGCCCAGAGCTCTGCTGCCCACCTGCCCTATCGATGATCTCCATTCCACCAGAAGAAAGAAATTATTTGACGGTCACTTAAAACCACAAGTAACAAATCAATTTTCATTTAGAGCTTTATCCATTCAGTAGTTTTCCAAATTAAGAACATATTTGATAAATAGGAAGAAAATTTCAAACTTTAGGCCTGTGCTGTGGCCAGTTTCAGAAGACAAGCTGTGTAACCTTAGGTAAGTGGCTGACTTCTCTGGGCCTTAGTCTCCTTGTAACAAAATGAAGAGTTGGACCAGATAATTTTCAGTTCTGTAATTCTAGATCTGTAATTCTACTGAAAGACAAGGATTTGGAGGAGGTAAGAAAGAAATCAGAGAATGGATAGAAGGGCAAGATAGACAGAGGTAAGTGCAAACTGTATCAGAGACAAAGGGAATCTGTGCGTACAGAGGAAGCAACCATCTTTGATAAGGCAACAGTACCCTCTTGTGGCTTCTTAGGATAGTGCTACAAAGGCTTTTCAAAGCTGAGTTAAGGTTTCACAGATCTAGTCACACAAAGCAGACGTTAACCCGTCACCACCACCACACACACACACCTGCCCAGGGCCAGGTGAAATCAAGCCAGGTGTGACCCTTATAACACGGGTCCCCACCTCTGCCAAAGAGGCAAGGGGTTTGGAGAGAGGGTTATCCCACCCCTCTCCTACCCAGGAGGAGCACACGATGCCTACCAGGCTGCTGGGAGGGTTAAAATGCTTTGAAATGTAAAAGGACTTTTGAAAGCGACCAATCCTTTTGCTTAAATTCACTCCAGAGCCCCGAAGGGGCCACTTGTCCTCAATCACCTGTCCCCTCCCAGCACAGCTCCTGGCTTTTCACAAACCCTTAGCATGGGCGAGAGCTAGACCACGGCTGCAGGCGGCCAGAGGTAGCCTGGCAGGAGCAGCTCTCCCTTCACTCGAGGGCCTGGGAGTGCGAGAGACCTGGCGGTGGAGCACACAGCCCCAGACCTTCTCCCTCTTATCCCAGGTCTACAGGCCGGAGCCCGCCTCCATGACAGCCGCCTCGCCAGGGACTTCCCAGCCCAAGGCAGATTGGGAATACTAAATGCTGGCGATGTGCTGAGCATTTTGCAGTGAAAACCAATAAGCAAAGTGGGGTCACTTGATCTGAACACTCAGATTTAAGCTTCTCTGTCTGCAGCTCCTGTACATAACTGCCAGGCTCTGCTTTCCCTCTCAGAAAAATCTAGAACTTTGTCTTCAGCCCTTATCGCTATCCTCCCGGTTCTGTGCTCCCTTATTCTCCAATTCAGAATCGATGCACTAGTTCAGCAACCGTTTATTGAGCGCCACAGGGTAACAGGCAGCACTGCGTAAGGCTCTCCTGCCTTGCACGGGGTGGTGGGGAGACAGGCAGTCACCTCAGGACTTCCCGTCTTTCCCTCCTCTTTACAGATAATCTGATCAACGACTTTGCACTGAATTGTAAATAACTGATAACGCATAAAACGGCTGATGCTCCTTAAGGGTGGTTAGCAAAGTAGTAAATTTCTCATTGTAAATTCCTCAAGAATCTCTCTAAAAAGTATCTGGGAGCTGCCAGCTCTGCCTACAGGTGAGATGAGGCTGTCCCAGACCATCTGCCTGCACCTCAGGCTTCCCCAAGCAGTCCCTGACTCCAGGCCTGCCTGCAGGTGGCAGAAAGAAGCCAGTGTCACCTGCTTTGGGACTATAGGCTCCTGTATCCGAGTGACCATTTTAATGTCTGTTCCGTCAAGGAGATTGTGGAGTGATTGCAACAGATCACTTCCCTCCTGGGTAAACGTGCAGGGTTCCTTGAGACTATAGAGCATGCTGGTTAAGAGCCAAGTACCCACCACTTCCTAGCTGTGGGGCTGTGGGCGAGCCACAGTTAACTCACATGAAAATAGAGATAATCAGAGTCTGACCTCAAACGGTTACCTTGATGATTAAATGAGTGGTTCTGCATTCCCACCTCCCCCTTGCTCACCGGTGCACATAACAGCCGCAAAGACCCAGCACTGCCCGTACATCACAGGCTGCCCGCCCCTGGCTGACCACTGCCGCAGGATGGCCACGCTGCCGTTCCACTCCAGCGGGCTGACCCCCATGGAGTAGTCCTCTCCCCAGTTCCCCTGCAGCACGCCTCTGTCGTCATTGCTGTTGATCTGCAAAGAAGAAACAGGTGGGTTTCCACAGTGCCTTGGGGAAGCTCAGACTGTCCTCAGATGGGGCGGGCAAGCTTCTGGCCTTACCATGGCACTCACCACCCTGCAGACATACACCACGTCGTTCCTCTGGGAGCAATCTTTGGATGGGTTCTTTAAGAAGTACAGGCTCTTGTTCAGGATCTCAAAGCAGATATCTATGATGTCCTCTTCAAACTTCCAGGAGGTCGCAAGGGAGAAAAAAGAAGAATAAAAATGTCCAGAATTCTGAAACTTCAAGTTGATAACCCAGATGTTTAGGGATGGTGTGCACGTGGTGGGGGTAAGGGTAGGACTAAATATCAGACAAGGTCCTGCCTTCAAAGACCTTCTAAGTCAAATTGGGATTGTATTAGATGCAGAATTCTGAAAAACTAACCAGGGTGGCCCTGATGGAAAATACAAACAGTATTCGGAGAGATGAGAGATCCTTGCCGACTGAAGAGATCAGAGAAGGCGATTGGAGCTAGCAGGCTTTAAAGGAGGAGGTGGACAGGAAGAGAAGAGGGAGGAGGTGATCATGTGAGGTCTTTGAGCATGATGGGTGCCACCGACAGGGGCTTAGCAGTTCTCATTTCTGGAGGACTTGTGAGAGTAGGAAAAGATCAGATGGATAAATATAGGGCCAGGCATGGAGGAGAGGGAGAAGAGTGTGGGGAACCTTGAAATCAGGTAGAGGATTCAGTGCTGATGCTGTGAGCACAGGAGAAGCCAGTGTAGGCTCATGACATACGTTTACAACATATATTTGCAATGTATGTCGCAATCCTTTTGGCTGCCAAATACACTGGTATTTGTCTCAGTTTCAAAAAATTATACTAGTTGTCGCATTTGGAGAACGCGGAAACTGATCTTCCTCATCAGGGCTCCCTGCTTCCTCCTGACTCTGCCCTCCTGGTGTTGGACAGGGTTGAAAGGGCAGTGGGAGCCAGGGGGAAACCACACGACCATGGTTGGCGGTTGAGAGGGGAAAGTTGCCCAGAGCCAAAGGTCCCCACTCTGTACACTGACTGGATATTTGATGTTATTGAAGAATTGCTGTTCATTTTTTCAGCTATGATAGTGATATGATAATCATATCATGTGATTATGATAATGTGGTTAAATTTTTCAGAAAGAGTCATCATCTTTTAGAGCTGCATTCTGAACTATCACTGGATTAAATGACGCAGTATCTGTAATTTGCTTCAAAAAATCCAATGATGAAGTGGGAGGGATGAGGGAGTATAGACCAAGGATCACCAAACTTCTTCTGTAAAGGACCAGATAATAAGTAGTTTAGGCTTTGCAAGTCATATAGTCTCTGTCTCAACTACTCAGCTCTGCTACTGTGGCATGAAAGCAGCCACAGACAATACCTAAACGAATGAGCATTGCTGTACTCCAATAAAATGATATTTATGGACACTGATGTTTGAATTTCATATAATTTACATGTCACAAAACATTATTTCTTAAAAATTCTTTTTCAACTGTTTAAAAAAGATGAAAACCATTCTTAGCTCATGGGCCATGCAAAAACTGGCAGTGGGCCACATTTGGCCCATGGGCTATAGTTTGCAAACTCCTGGTGTAGATGAAATAAGATTCGCCATAAATTGATCACTATTGAAGCCGAGAGATAGGTTCATTGGGGGTCATTATAGTACTGTTGGATTATGTTTTAAGGTTTTCATATAAAAGACTAAAAACTAAAAAGGAAAGGTGTCTCCCCTTCTTCCTTGCCCCCTCACTGGATGGGAAATTGGTCCGGCACTGCACATCCTGACTTTTGTTAGCAGTGCTTTGGGAGCTAACGGTTGTCTAAGGAGACCTGCCCCAGGCCCACCTTCAGGAGACAGCGTTACCTGCCCGTAGTTCCAGGGCCGGGCGGTGATGAGTCTTTTCTGACCCTTGTAAACAAAGCCGTAGTCCGTCAGGATGTACTCCCGCAGCAGGGCTTCACTGGGCAGGTGGACATCGTCCTCTGAGTGGTTGAGAGCAGCGGAGGGGGAAGAACCCCAAACCAAAACACAAACAGTAATAAAATTAAAAAACAGTAAAGACAGTATCTTGCCGGGTAATAGGAGAAGCCATGGAATGATGGTGATAGACATCAAGACTGGACCCCTTAAAACTATGTGCTTTTCTAGAGACCAGCAATATAATCTATAGATAATGATTACATTTTCCTGATTATAAAGGCAGCAAACTTATTGTAGAGATTTGGAAAATACAGATGAGTTAAAGAAGATGATGAAAATCGCTCATCCCCCTATTCAGAGTCACCCACTATTACATTTTGTTGTATTCTGGCCACTGTCTCTTTCTCTGTATGTATATGAAATACAATCGGGATCACGTTATATTCCATTGCCAAATCTATTTCACTTGTGTCACACCATGAACACTTTCTTCAGCCCATTAAAAATTCTTCGCAATGCTGCTTTCTAATGAGCCTATGATAATATATTGCATAGATATGCAGCGTTTTATCTTCTAGGCTTTCTAAGCAGAACCTCATAGAGTGTTCCCAATGGATCAGGTTAACATTACAACCCATGAGCAAGTCACACCTGCACTCCAAGGGTTAAAAAGCAGGATGAAAGTCCCCAGGGGGTGAGTTGAGCTGTGACCCTGGCCCTGAGATATCTCTATCTTCAGAGTGTAGGAGCCAATGACTGCATTGGCTGGTGTGAAAAGGGAGACAAAAAGCGAGTCGGAGTCAATGGTGAAGTCGGAAGCACTCCAGACATTCCCTTGTCGGGCCTGGGTGAGTGAGAAGATGGCTCGCGTTCCCAGCAGCTCCATGGGTGCTGGTCCTGTGTAAGAGAGAATGACCCCAGTGTGAGGCTCAAATCTATGTGACATGATTCCATGGGCACTGGAAGGACCCTCACCATCTCCCACCTCACCGTCTCCCACCACTTGCCAATCCTTTTGGTTTAAGTCTTTTACAGCCACTGGGTGTCCTTGGGCAAGCCGCTTAAGACCTCTGAGCCTCAGTTTTTTGTTTGTTAAATGGGATAATAATAGTACCCACCTGAAAGTCTTGTCATGGGGATTAAATGAACTAATGTGTGTGAAGTTTTAGCGCAGTGCCTGTTGTACATTTAAAAGTTGGCTATGATCATAACTTGAGTTTGCTGAGTTGGCCAAATCTTTCTTTAACAGCATTAATATGGTGCTGAACACTAATAGGGTCCTGGGGATCCCAGCAGAAGAAAAGGAAGGTGGCTCAGAAAAGGAGAGGCAGGGACCAAACAGGTGAACTTTGCCCTGGGGCCGGGCAGACTCACCAGTCTCAGCTACGAAAGTGATGTGGTCGGTCTGGAACTGGAAGGGTCGGTTGAAATGCAGTTGGAGCGTGAAGAGCTGGCCCCGGCGCACGATGAGCCGCTTCAGGCCCATCTCCTGCGTGTGATGCTCCTTGTTGTTCCTGGAGCTCTGCAGGTCCACGGATCTGAGCTCCAAGGCTGCCACTGGGGGAGAGTGGGGGATGGGTCACTGCCTAGCTGCGGCTCCCTGGGCTCAGCATCCCCTGACAGCTTCTCAATCATTTCTTCTCAATCACTTAGGTAAGATTCCTGTCCAGATCTGAGCCCTCTGCCCTGTCCACCCTGCCCTCTTGTTTAAAAACAGTCTCAGAGGGCAATTTAGCAGCCCTGGCCCGAGAGTAGGAGGACAATGATCCCAGTGACCTCTGTACCTGGACCCAGAGCCACAATATTCAAGAATTAGGGACCCAGAAAGCAAGTCATTTCCAGACAACTGACACTTAACCCTTGAAGTACCGCCACATACACTTAACTGCTTTTGTTGACAATCTTTCTAAAAATTACTCTATTATCCTGTTGAAGAAAGAGCATATTAGGATTTTGTATGAATTAAGTCAACGAGCTGACTAGAGGCTGGGACCTCAGCCACAGGTAAGCCCTGCTTTGGGATACTGAGGGGATGGGAGCCTCAGGGTTACTTGTCACTTATTTCTTGTTTCTCAGCCATGTTCTGGGTGTATGAGGTCACTGACTGCTTCCTGGGGTGTGACTGTATGTGCACAGCTAGCGTGCAGTTTAAAAGCTCTCATAGCATAATGGGCAAGAGTACAGGCTCTCAGCACCTCAGCTGTGAGACCTTAAATGAGTCACTTAACATCCCTAAATTTCAGTGTCCTCAATTGAAAAATGGAGACAATGGTATTCCTATCTCGTCAGGTTCATGTAGACATTCAGTGAAGATTCACATGTAAAGATCTTAGTATAGTGGCAGGAACAGAGTAAGCACTCAGTAATCATTAGTTGCTCTTAATATTAGTAATAATGCAGCCTCGGGTTGCATTTGCTTTGCTATTTTTGCTGGTGGTATTTATTGCATTTACTGTCAACAAAAATCCACTAGGTCTTTCCACTAGTAGTACATCAATTTACCTCAGTAGTTCTCAACCAGGGAAATTTTGTCCCCTGGAGGACATTTGGCGATGTCCGGAGACATTTTTGGTTGTCACAACTTGAGGGAGAGGCTGCTACTGGTATCTAGTTGGTAGAGGCCAGAGATGTTCCAAACAGCATCCTAGGGCAAAACTCGTGTGTGCTCCCAGCCAATTTTTGTGCCATTTGCATTTTGAATGTCCACATAGGTTCTTAATGTTTTTGCTAAATGAGTCCACTTTGATAGTTTCAGCCCATCTTTCCTACCTGGCTGGACTTTTTGAGTCCCAATTCTTTCACCAAAACGCTTTACCTTGCCATCTGGGAACTGACTAAACTGTCTTCCAGGTCTTCGTCCAAGTCATTGGTAATAAGATGATTCTAAGCATGAGGGCTTAAGTCAGCAGCCAGTTTCTTCCAGGTTAACACTGAACCATTAGGAAATGGTCTAAGTATAGCTGTCAACTAGCTTTGACTGCAGCTAATTCTTTACATGAGGAAAGTGGATCAGGTGTTTTTAAATTTCCAGTCTAAAATCAAATCCAGCTTTCATATTTGCAAATTTCCCACAAATTTGTCAAACATCCGCTGAAAACAGAATGCACACGATGGTCCCTCGACCCTCCTCCTAGTAACAGTCTTCCCTTGATGTAGACTCAAACATGAAGTACGGCATCAAATAGTACAAAATTTTTAAACCTCTTCATGTAATTTACGCACTTAAATAGTTGTATTATTGGAAGCAGAAAATTCTGGGCAAGATCTAAGATAGATGCCTTTGAATTACTTAACAGCATTTTTTAAACAACAGGTCCTTTCCATTAGTAGTTTGTGAAATCATTTTAGAGGAATATGACCAATATTTAAAAAGAAAAAAGAATAGAATAGAAAATATCACACTGAAAGAGCAAGTAAAATTTTATGTATAACTGGGTCATGATGTAAACTGTGGGTCATAGTCAAAAGTTTAAAAGGAACTGGCCTAGATCCTGTTAGAAACTGGTTGCAGCTCATTTGTTCCTGAGGGCCCTGACATTTCCTGAGCTTTCACAGAAAACCCCTCTGCCCCGTACAGAACACCCCGTGGCCATTCCACCCTGAAAGACCAGACACCCAAAAGAGACAGTGCAGAACACGCAGGAGTGCTTACGTCACTTCTACAGGAGGGGACAGGACTGGGGGCAGCCTTTTCCTGACTGCTGGTCACAGCTCCAGGCAAAATTTCTAAGGGCAGCCAGCCCAATTTTCCCTTTACCCAGGATGACTCTTGGTTTGGAAGAAAAGGGGAGGAGGATAAAGGAAGATGTCTTCCTCTCCACGCCCAAAGTCACAGGGCACAGAGAAAATTCATTCTCCACTGCAGACTCAAGAGTTTTCTTTTTCCTTCCATTTAATGTAATTATGCATCTGGCTCACTGAAGTGCTTTTCCTGTCAGGGAGACAATGACCTCAGAGAACAAGAGGGAGGGCCTTCAAGGGAACAGGAAAAGAAAGTCAAGAGGATCAGGAAGAGATTCCACAAAGCATGAAGTCAAGCAGAATCAATTAGTAAAAACATGTCAGTGTCTACAAGGCCTTCTTGGCTTGGCCACCGGCCCACCAGATAATGAGGAGTAAGAAAAGAGGTAAGCCCCGGCCACAGGACTCTTGGCACTTGGCTAATATAAAGACAAGGATATTAAAGGATCAAAATATATCTCCATATATTATCAGCTTAAAAAAAAAAAAAAAAAGGAGACATTAAAACAGCCATCAGCCTGCAATGAGTTCTGAGATGTGACATGTTTGCTCTGAGAGATCAAAACGTGAGGCAGCCCTGCTCTCAACAGGCTCCTGCTCTCCCCTCAGGTCTGGGCTCAGAGATAACCACCGCACAGGCGCCTTCTTTGACCACTGAATGTGATGCCCCACCTCCCACCCTGTGATCACTTGCCGTCACAACACCCTCTTTCTTTTCTGCAGAGCACTTAACAGTATCTAGAATTAGTTCCATGGAAGCAGAGACCTTGGCCATCTCACACCTGCATCCCCCATGCCTAGAATGGAGCATGGTTCCTAATTGCTAATTATTATAGTTGATATTCTCTGAATACTTACTACGTGCCAGGCACTGTCAGAAGCATTTTACACATCTGAAATCATTTATGTTTTCACAACCACTCTGTGATGGAGGCATTAATATTGTTCCTAAGACACAGGAAGGTGCAGGACACAACTGAGACTGATACCCAGGTAGGCTGGCTCCAGGGCCTGCCTTCTAACCATCACAATCTCCTGCCTTCCCCGTGGGTGCTCAGGGACATTTGCTGAATAGATGCCTGCATGCATGTGTGAAGTACAAGGAGGATAATCTGGCAGGAGGGCAGTGGGGCCGTAGGGAAGAGAGGGAGAAAAGCCTGGGAGGGCAGCAGGGCTGGGATGCCGCTGTTAGGGTCAGTAGTAATGGGTGTACCTGTCCCTGATGGGACGATAAAATGTTACAGCTTTCTGAAGGAAATTTATCGATACTTATTACAAAATAAAGGAAAGCCTTAAAACATAAATACCTTTGATCCATAAATTACCTTTCTGGGAATTTTTCCTAATTAAATCATCATTTGTGTATAAAAATGTAAGCATAAGGATGTTCAATGCAACCCGAATGTCCTGCCATGAATTGGATATGTAAATTTTATTTCTCTCATCTTGATGTAACCAATAAAAATGACACAGGATATGGGGAAATAATTTATGAGATATTAAAAAGTAACATAAACAGACTGAAAAACAGTATGTTACAGATTTTTAGGTGGTGAAATCATGGGAAATTTTTCTTTCCTTTGAGTTTGCCGGTGTTGGCCAAGCTTTTGCTTTGAACATGTATTCCTTTTGTATTTAAGGAAAAGTGTTATTTTGATTATAGTCAGGTTTTTGAGGAGTGGCATGATCAAAGCTTTATTCAGGATTAATCTAGCTGTGGTATGTAGCCCAGACCGGAGGGAAAAAAGACTAAGAGGGAAGGGCAGTGAGAACTCTGTTGCAATAATCTAGGCAAAAGGCTAATGAAGATGTAAACCAAGGTGTTAGTAAGAAAAAGGAGAGAGCACCTTATGTGTGCGAGGGACTGGCGTCCAGGGCATGTGGCAGGCTAATAAACACTTGTTGAAATACCTTGACATCCAGGGCTTCCTAAGGTCCCAGCTAGTTTGGATGAAGACTGGGGCAAGTTAAAAAATCCACCGCCAACAATGTTCTAGGCAATCAGGCTGCTGGTGAAGGCCTGGAAAGCTCCAGGCGGAGACGGCAAAGGGTGAGTTATGCCCAACACAGACAGCACAGAGAGTTGGCACCTGCCACCAAATGTCAGGTGGACTCACTCCTTTTCTTGTCCCTGCGTTTAGTCCAGCTTCTCTGTCAGTGTGTTTTCTTTTTGCGCTTCTCATTATTATGGTCATTTTGGGACTTTGACAAATACTTCATTCTTTCTCATTTCTTCCTTTTTAAAAAATGTGAAAGGGTACATCTGTGTGAAGCATATGAGGATTCCTGTGTAATGAGATTACTGCAGAGTTTTCCTGTGCCTCTTTAAATGTGCAAGAATATAAATGTCTTACAGCGATGCATTGCTTAACGATGGGATACATTCTGAGAAATACATCGTTAGGAGATTTTGTCACTGTGCAAACATCATAGAGAGTACATACACAAACCTGGATGGCATAGCCTACTACATACCTAGGCTCTATGGTACTAATCTTATAGGACCACTATCATATATGCACTTGTCATTGACTGAAACCTTGTTATGTGGCACATGACTGTATTACCTAATCAAGTCCAAATTCTTTAGCCAAGCATTCAAAGCCCTCCACAATGTGGTCCCAACACATCTATCCTATCTTATCTCCCAATAGCCCATAAATAAACTCTGCTTCACTTGTGTCATGGCCTCCAAATAGCTCATGCCCAGCTCTCCCTCTTGACAGTCCCTGCCCTTCCCCCATCTCTACATGTCCCAGTTGTCCCCATTCTTCAAGCAAAACTCAGCATCTACCTCCTCTATGAAATCCTTCCCAAGTGTTTCAGAACAAGGAGATATCTCACCACCTGTAACAATAGTTTTATGTCTAGCTGACATTTACTGAGTGTTATTAAGCTCCAGGCTTCATATGCATTATCTCCTTCCATTCCTACAACTACCCAACAATATATTATTAACTCAATATTACACATGAGCAGACAGAGAATCAGTGAGGTTGAGTAACTTGCCCAGTGTCACCTATCTAGTAAGTGGCAAAATTGTCATTTAAACTTAGACAGTTTTTTGAAATATATAGCGATGTGCACCTGAAATTTATCTAATGTTATCAACTAATGTTACCACAATAAAAAACAAAACAAAACAAAACAAAAACCTAGACAGTTTAACTTCAGAACCTAGCTCTTAACTTCTGCCTGAGGTGCTGGTCTGGAGGTTTTCACTTTTTTTTTAATCAAGTGAGTGAATATCGGTTTTTTTATTCAAATGAAAACATAATAAACAGACCTAAGAGGAGCTGCTCTGGTGGAAGCACTGGGTAGGAGTCCCCTGGCTTCTCTCTAGAGCCTTAGGGGTCCAAAAAGCACAGTGAAAACCACAGTGCCATGTCAACCTCTGCATCCTAAAATGCCAGCAGGTCAGGGTACAACCAGCTCCAGGACCCACGTGTTCTCTCTCCCTGCTCTGCAATTTCCTACACTCTGCATTTGTCAGTTAACAATGTACTACTATGTTGTTTCTTTGAAACATGATTTTCATTTAATGGCATCTACATGATTAACTATATTGTTTGATTGTCTACACCCAGTACTCAGCAATTCAAACAGGATCTGGCAAAAGAAAAGTGTCTCTAGGCTGATGACACAGGTTAAGTCATTAGGTCTTTTGCTGCAAATGTAACAGGGATTAATATCCATAATATATAAAAGTTGCTATAAATATTAAGAAGTCTTGCTATAATCAGAAATGCAAACAAAAGTAATGAGATCCCATCTTTGATCAATTCAAAAATATTTTAAAGAATAACAATAACATATTGTGAAGGTTTATAGAAATGGACTGTCTCATATATTGATGGTGGGGGTATAAATTCATAGAGACTTTTTAGGTAAAGTTGGTTGATATTGAAGGGTAGCAGAATATGCCATCCCAAAATACGCCACTTTGGCATAAAGATTATTTTGAGCTGAAAGCAATTGAAAAGAAGCAGATACAAGAAAAACCCTCTGCCCTCCTCCTATTTGACTAAAAGCAGGACACAAGTTTGTAAAGGTGTCCTCTCTCTCATATCTACCAGGAAGGACAGAAGTTAACCACTAGAGAGTTCTGGATCCTCATCAGCCCAGAGATGGCACCAGAGGAATCTACATAACAAACTATTAACTAGCCCTTATCTTCCATTAGCTCTCCCCCATATTTACCTTCCTAGAATTTGCTGCCCTAAAAACTCAAAGTCTTTTTCCTTTGTCTTCTCACTTCTCTAAAACTTTATTGTTTTCTTGTCAAGATGCTGTACAAGCCCAAGTTCTAACCACCCCTTTGAGTTACCCATCACTGAGAGCTCCCATGTATATGTGCAATGCACATGTTAATAAACTTCAATCCGTTTTTCTCTTGTTAATCTGTCTTTTGCTGGTCTGATTTATAAGTCCCCTGCCAATGAACCTGATTGGTGGAAGAAAAAAAGACGAATTTTCCTTCCCCTACAATAGCCATCAAAGCAAAGTGCATATTGTCTTTGATCCAATAGTTCTTTTCGAAATCTTTCATATAAAAAATATTTGCACACATATGCGAAGTTAGATCAACAAGGATGTTCATTGCAGCATTGTTTTTAAGAGCAAAACATTGGAAACAATCTAAATGTCCATGAATAAGGCATAGTAACAAATTAAACAAATTGATAAATTATGAAATAAATTGTTCTTATGTGCCCAGAATGGAAAACTACAATTCATTACAATTTTTTGATAGACCAATTTGCACTGGCCTGCAAAGATTTCCAAGATATATGATTACGTTGTTAAAAAAGCAAGTCATCAGTTAGTATGTAGTATATGATCTCATTGTATAAAACAAATAATTTTATATAATCTATTGTTATTTGAAAGCAGTTAACCAAATTGTTAATAGTTCTTTCCTATGAGAAGGAGCGGGATTGGGAGTACATTGTATGTAAAGGGGGACTTTTTTTTTACCCTAATAGACAAACATTTTATAACAAGCATATATTTTTTGTTTAATTAAAGCATACTATTTTAAAAGATAATATAACATTTTAGGCTTACTGTGGTTGGTGATAACTGAGGACAAAAAATACCCTAGAATTTTGTACAAAAATACCCTGGAATCTAGCATCTGAACAAGCCTCTTGAGGCTTCTCTAATAAACTCTGGCTTGTATTAAAATACCATGTACATCTCTAATTTCTAATAGTTTGTATCATATATAACTTAGAACACAATCTTAAGAAATACATAATCCACCTTACTGCCCTGTCCCGGCAGGCCCCATGTGACTGCCTGGCTGGCACAGCCCACTAGGCCCTGTTCTCACTCCCAGCGGCAGAGCAGCAGGGGTTCAAGGGGACCCTAAAAGGGGCCTGAGTTCAGAGGGCAGGAGCAGAAACTCTCTAGGGGAGCTGAGAGCCAGAAGAGAGGCTGGACCAGGAGAATGTTCTAGGTCCCAAGAGGTGGTCCTCCTGCAGCTCCAGAGTTAGCCACAGAAGTGGCCTCCCAAGTACCAAGGGCACCTGGTAGTAAAGGCCAAGGTTCTTGTGGGCCTCCTCAGACTTCCCAAGGCTATTCCAGTCCCAAGATGTTAAAGAAAAGATCGTCCACAGCCTCAGGGTTAAGCTGAATCCATTCAGAAGAAAATGAATGGCTCTATGAATTATGCCCCAACGTCCGAAAGAAGGTGAGGAAATGGGAGGAAGGAGCCACATTACACAGTGAACCATCCACATCAATTTAGGCTTGCCTGTCTCTTCTGTTCACCCCTAACCTCTCAAAACATCTCCCCTCTCCAGACTCAGCCCCCCAGAGAAGTTAGATTCCCAGTACTCACCCTGGTCCATCTCCTTCCTCCTTCTGTCAGCCAGAGCCCTTCAACTCATCAGTATTAAGATACTAGATCTAATCGCCTCTCTGGGCAATTACAGTCATCATGCGAGAACCTTTCCTTCCATCCTGAGTTGGGTGGGGCTGCCATTTCCTCCTCCTCCTAGTACTCCTCCTGCTCCTGTTTCCCCGTTGTTCCGGGTATGTCTTAGCATAAGGAAAAGAGCTTCTGTCTAAAGTTTTTAAAAAAAATTACTGAGGGGTTTGTTTCCATGGCTTCCTCTTTAAGCTGAGAAGACTCAAGTGATGTGGAAGGCAACGCTTGGTTTGAATCCGTCCCTTTGTGCTTCTGTCACTTCAGGGCTCGGGACCACATTCACTCTAAGCCATCTCAGTCTGGTGTCAGGCATCACTGACAGTCATCGTCAAGACGGAGATGAGTAAGGAACAGAGCCGCCCTGAGGAACGTCACGCACAAATGGTCCTGAAAACGGGTTTGAACAGCCCATTAGGACCCAGAGACCTTTCTTTGCATCTTAAAGAAAAACAAAGTTCATTGAAGTGGTGAATTATTACACTATTGATTAAAAATGAAGTTGATAAAGTTTCCAATGACAAGTAGAAATACCTATGATATAATGTTAAATTCGAGGGGAAAAGCAGGATATAAAAACAGTGCCACTTATCTCAATGGTGTAAAAAATATTATTTATACAGATAGACCCATTTTTAAAAGACGGAAGAAAATATAGTAAACTGATTGTCTAGGAGCAGTGAGGTTGTGAACGATTGTGACTTCCTTATTTATACTTTTCTGAATTAAAAAAAAAAAATCCACAGTGGGAGGGTAAGATGTGTTTAATCAGAGGAAAAAAATATTTTCAAGAGAAAGTAAGAAAAGGGGTAGGAGGACCATAGCTGGGGATCCGGACATGTGTGGTTTACCAGATTCACAGTTTTAAGGAGAGAAGCAGAAGAATCTAGTCTTCACTCCTGGGGGAAGAATTTAGTTTGGTAAAAAGAACAGTGCAGCTGAGAAAACAGAAAGAATTTTACACATTTACTGATCACGGTCAAAGGTATGTAAGAGGTGCCTAATTCCCCAGGTTAATTTGTGTGATTCATCGCAAATTCCTGTGTCTCTTGTAGCCAAGTTTTCTGTCGCACCCTTGGCCTTTTTTTTTTTTTTTTTTTTCTGAGGAAGATTAGCCCTGAACTAACATCCGCCACCAATCCTCCTCTTTTTTTGCTGAGGGAGACTGGCCCTGAGCTAACATCTGTGCCCATCTTCCTCTACTTTATATGTGGGATGCCTACCACAGCATGGCTTGACAAGCTCTTTTAAGGAAGGCAGAATTTTAAAAAACAACTCTTTGTAATAAAAGTCCTAATTCATATTAAAGATATTTTGAACATAGATTTTTTTAGATGGAGGGGAGTATACATTTTAGTGAATTTCCCTCCTGTTATTTTGGCTACACTGAGGTGGGTTTTTTCCCATAGTTGCAATCATACTCTTTTTTGAAAACAGAACTTGTTTAAAGTGAGAATTTCCATATAAAACAATTTGCCATCCTATTTGAAAATATAGCATAAAGATGTAATGACTTTTGCCTTGTAAAAATAAGCTTTTACATCTCAAATATTATTTATTTACTTAATTCAACCCTTCCGTTTTCATTTTGAGGCTTAGATGGGAAAAGAGATTTCTCCAAAAATAACCACAATATTATTACCCAGGTTAATGAAAGAAATTCCCTTTGGTCAATCCTAAGGGCCCCATTAACACTGAGTGTCCCAATTTCCACTACTACTTTCATTCCTTCCTTCATTGTATAAGTATTGGATGACTGGGATTTTCACAGCACCATATCCGAAATTTTGAGGCACTCAAAGGTGAAAGCTGATCTTTAACCCCACGTTTCTTAGAATCTATTGGTAGAAATAAAGCACCCACAAATATCCTCCAGAAAGGAAACTGCCCTGAGGAGTGGGCTCAGAACAATGGAGGTCTTCTAGGGAGGAGCTGGGGAAAGGCACTGTGATGTGTGACCAGCCACTGGTGGTGAAGAATGAAGAGGATTCCTGAGAGAGAGATGGTGTGAGAAGGGCATTCCAGGCCAAAGGCCCAGCATAAGCAAAGGAGGAAAAGTGGAGAGACCCTGAGCTTCTTCTGAAACGGACACAAGGAATTGCCCGCAGCAACCAAAACTCGCTTTATAAAGCGATTTTTTCTAATAGGAAAAAAAGAAAGAATCAGAGACTTGAGAGTTTCAAAATTGTAAAACACAGAGCTATTTTTTCTGTACTGCTTTAGAAACTCGAGTTTTATAGCTGCGAGTGACTAAAACTTAAACATCGTCTCCACCTGGAATCTTGCTAAGCAGCTATATGGGGCAACTAACTTTTTAATCAAGCTACAATCAGTTGATTAAGTCATAATCAATGTCCATCATGGTCTTGCAAATCATGTTCTTTCACTGATCATATTAAATTCTGTTTACTCTATAGATTTTTCCTTAAAAGACAAATGCCCAATATAGTCAAGTTTTAAATTTAGTTTCCAGAACAACAAAAAAATCCCTTCTACCATAGAATCATCTCTATGTTGATAATAGACCAACCTCTGCTGAGTTAACCCAGTAGATTTGTCCCACAACAAGACAGCAAGCTCTGAGGACCTTTAACTCTAAAATAAATAGAGACACACTATAATCCTCTCCTGGCTCCACACCCTTCTATGTGTCTCCTGGGTTCTCCACTTGATCCTGCAGTCACTTCAACTTCAACATGTTCAAAATTGAACTCATTAGCCCCACCCATCCCCCAAATTCATATTGTTTCTTACTCATCCTTGTGATAATATTGCAATATTGTAATAAGTATTACAAAACTTTATTAGTTGCTTGGAACCTACTATTTGAAGGTTGTGTGACCAAATGGACAGAGCACAGGTTTATGACTTACGGAACCTGGTTCAGGACGCTGCTCAGGCCCTTCTGAGCCTCAGGACCTATTTGACCTTAAGGAAGTAAGTCTCAAGGAGAGCCCCAGCTCTTACGTAAAATAGGACTAACAACAGTGCCTACTTTACAGAGTTGCTTTGAGCATCAGATAGATAGTGTTTGTGGAAGCCTTAAAGTGCTGTACAAACATTAACCAGTTTCATTGGTAATAATGGTAATATTTATCATCCTTCAGAATGTGAGATTCACATCGAGTGAAAGACTGATGAGATCTCTGCTCTCACGGAGCTTACATTTTAGTGGGAGAGACAGTCAATGAACAAGTACGTGGATAGACAGACAAAATATGCTAAGGTGGGGATAACTGCTCTGAAGAAAAATATAAACAAGGGGATGAGAGAGAGAGAGAATACTAGGTGGTGAAAGATGTTACTTTAGAGTGGGTGGTCAGGGAAGATCTCCCTGGGGTGGGGCTATTGATCTGAAGCTAAGTGACAAAAAAAAAAACCAAAACAGTCTTTTGAAAATAAGGACTAAGAAACAGTAAGTTCAAAGGCCCTGTGGCAGGAAGCTGGGGGGGTGGGCTTGATCTGTTGGAGGAAATAGGAGGCCTCTGTGAATGGAGTGAAGTTGGTGGGAATGGATGGAGAGGGGGTCGGAGAAGAAGAGTAGGGTCATACCTTACTGGCCAGGTAAACTGTGGTTAGGATTTTGCAATTTCCTCTGAGTTTCCCTGGTTACTTGGGCACATCTCTTTTCCCCCTGCCCAAAGCCTTCTCACATGCATCTCCCTGGAATGTCCTCCCCTCTTCTGTTCTCCTAGCTCACTACTCCTCTTCAAGGCTCTAGCTTAAACATCCCTTTCTCCTGGATGACTTCCTTGATAAATGCTCCCATAGTTGGCATGCATTTATTTCATTCATTCATCCACAAAGATTTATTGAGTGCCTGTCATGTAGCAGGGACTGTTCTAGGCTCTGTGGATCCAATTAAACAGATTTTCATTGAAGTGGAAAGATGTGTTTAGGATGATATCATGGGAAATATGGTCTGTATGGTATACCATAGAATTATTGTGGAATTCCATTGGAGAGCACCTCAAAGAAATGGACAGCTGTCCTTTAGAGCAGCTGAGGTTTAGTGAGCAGCTCTGGGGTAAGAGAGGCATCTTATGAAGACATGTTGAACCTGAGAAAGCAGCAATTTCAAATTAATTACAGGTGCTGATTTGAGACCTAGCTGCTTCTCAAATGGGTGCATTAAGTATTCCAAAGTTTATTTATTTAGCGATAGTAGTGATTCCCCTAAATAACCCCAGAGACGACATACGGTTATTAGTGAAGAGATATGTGGTTATTAGTCCTCAGAAAGGACATACGGTTATCAGTGAAGAGTGGCTGTACCCAAGCTGCACTGGAGACTCAAGCCACAAGTCTTTGGGGGCTGCTGCTATTTCCCAGAGAGTAATTCTGCAACCCCAGGGCAGTGTCTGGAGTGGCTCCTTTCAGAATGAGCCTCTAAAACTTTAGACAAAGAAAGTCTTTAATGTATTCATTCAACAAACTGTTGTATTGAGAGAGCCCACGAATGTGGCACTCAACTAGACTCTGAATTCTCAACTGCTAGATTCTGCAGTAAATAACAGACATGGTTCCTGTACTCAGGGAGCTTACCAAGGAAGACAGACATCTCACAGTTAATTACATAGCTCCAATTGAGCAAGGACAGATTGTTCTGAAACCATATTTCAAGAGGGCCTGGTCAGTCTGGAGAAAGGTGGAGGGTAGGGGTAGGAAGGCTCTTGTGGGGAATGATCTTTGATTTTGTTTTGTAAGATGACTGGGAATTCTAAATACGAGATGGTGCGGAATGGCCAGGTGCATTCCTTGCAAAGGGAACTGCTGTGCAAACACCCCAAGGCGGAAAGAAGCAGTTGCAATTCCCCTAACATTTCTGAAAGAAGGTCAGTGTGACTGAAGTAGCTTGAGCAAAGGGGAGCTTAGTATGAAATGAAGGCATGCCAGAGATTTTGCTTTGGGGTATTTTCCTAAGAGCAACGGGAAGCCATTAAGGGTTTTAAGTAACTATTAAAATATCAGGTTTGTGTTTTAAAAGATCATTCTGAGTTTAGTGTGGTGGATGGATGGGGGCGCGTGGCAAAGGTGGCTGGGAAGAGACCCATTGGGAGTTTCCTGCAGTAAAACAGGTGAGAAACGACGGAGACCTAGACCAGGATAGTGGCGACAGAGATGTTCTCAGTGGAGGATTCTAGAGGCATTAGAAGGCAAAACTGACAGGCTGAGGTGATTGATTAGATATGTGGAGTGAGTGAGAAGCAGATGCATGAGTCCTAAGGTTTCTGGCTTCATGCTTCTAGGTGGTTGGCAATGCTATTCTTGAAACAGAAAACACTGGATGAGGACCAAGTTTGGAGGGTCAGAACATGGGTCGGGTTCAGGTTTTGTGACTGAGTGTGAGATGCCCATTAGATATATAGCAGTGAGGCTGATTCCGCTGTTGAGCAGATGAATCTGGAGCTTCAAGGAAAGGCCTGGGTTAGAGAATAAAAAAATAGTCATTGGAACCAAGGGTTTGGATGAGTGCATGTGGGGAAAAGTTGTAGAGTGAGAAGAGAACCTAGGACAGATTTCTGAGGAACTCTAGCATTTAAAGATTGGGTAGGGGAGGATGATGGCCAACAACAGCCAGATACGTAACAGGAAAAACAGGAGGTGGTTGTGCCAAGAAGCCAAAGAAAGAGTGTTTTAAGAAGCAGGGAATGCTTATCAGTATGAAGTACTGCCAAGCCATCGAGTAACATAAAGTCCAAAAAGTGTCCATCCGTTGGTAATATTGTTACCGAACCTGAAGAGAGTTCGCTCACCCGTTGCGCAGCAAGCCAATCTCTGACACCGGGTGTGGTGGAAGAAAGTAGGAATTTTATTTTTGCACAGCACTGAGCAAGGAGAGAGGGCAGCTCATGCTCAAATCCCAAACTCCCCGAAAAGCTAAAAGGAAGGGTTTTATTTGGGGTTTTAGGAAGGGGATGGGGAGCATATGGCCTTGCTGGTCGGAGCTTTCCCACCAGCCTATCTTTGGCCTTGAGACACTTGCAGAGAGGAGGGAGCCCATGACCTTGCTGGTCAGCAGCTTTCCCACCAGTCTGTATCTCTTTGTGGGGAGGAGATAATCCAGGTGCTTGTCCTTGACGATGTCTGTCTCCACGGAGGATAGTGGATTCTGGAGCCAGGAAGCCAGAGAGTAAGCAGGGAATGAGTATTTTGGATTTAACCCCATATATGCTGGGTTTAACGTGGGGAAACCGATATCAGGGTCGATATCAATATGGAGACTATTGTACCTTAGCAAGAGAGATTTTGATGGTGTGATGATGGGAGAGGAAAAGGTATTGGAGAGAATTGAGAGCTGCATGGAAGAGGAGGAAATGGAGCTAGTGAATGTGGACAGAGTTGGGACAACCTCCTTTCCTTTTGCCAGGCTTCATTCTTGTTCTTTTAAAAATAATCAGTGAAGGGGGAATTTCAGGCCACCAAGAGGCAGAGGCCAGTTGAGGGAATTTTTTTCATTGTCCCTTTATTTTCTACTCAAAATAAAATTCAATAATATTTAAATATTACCCACCTTTGTTTCAACTCTGTGAGTGAGATTTTAGGGTTTGGCCTTTTTTGTCTTTCTTTTCTTTTCCAAATGACCAAGTGGATCTGGATCCCACTTTATGGGAGAAAAGGAACACAGGGTTCTTTTTTTTTTCTGTGAGGAAGATTCACCCTGAGATAACAACCATTGCCAATCCTCCTCTTTTTTTCTTGGCTTGAGAAAGATTAGCCCTGAGCTAACATCTGTGCCAATCTTCCTCTGCTTTGTATGTGAGATGCCTCCACAGTATTGCTGATGAGCAAAGTAGGTCTCCACACAGGATCCGAATACATGAAGCCCAGGATGCTGAAGCAGAGCATGCAAAACTTTAACCACGAGGCCATGGGGCTGGCCTCCAACACACGGTTTCTTAGACAAGGTGATTCCTTCAAAGAGACAATGGAGACAGAAATTATTTGGAGATACCACATTGGATCTAAACCCATTCCCTCACTTGAGGGCAGGTCAGTGGGCAGATCGTGCACTATTTATAATTTTAACATGAAGGAGCAAGTTGGCATGATTTGGGTATAAATTTCTTACCAAAATTCTGAAGCAATGTTACATTTTCCACTTGTGGCAACATGAGAAATTTATCTTCTGAGAAAGATGCAGCAAATTTTGGTTTAACTTGCTCTTCCTTTTTTGTTTTTTCCAAAGAAATAGAAAAAACTTCCTGATTACATGGTGAGTATCACGAGAATTTCAGACCTCTAAGGGGGAATTTGACCAAAGGTGTCCCCAAATAACAACTCTTTCAAGAAGTCTGGTTGTGAGGGAAGAGTAATATCTGCAGAGGTCAAAGCAGGGATTATCCCCAACATCAGAGAATTGCGCATGATTAGTGTCGATAGGAAAGAAGGAATAGGAAGGGGTTGGTTAAAACATACAGAAAAGAGAAGGAATAATCCAGGGACTTCAAACTCAAATGTCCAAGGGGCCAGGGAGGTAACCTAAATGAGTGAGGCAGTGGGATGTAAGAAACAGAGGGGGTGGCAGGAACTGCAGAGACTGGAAAGTACGGGCTCATGGTTTCCATCCTCAAGGTCACCTCACAGTTCAAGATGGCCACAGGAGCTGCACCAGAAGGCACAAAAGGGGCGCTCTTCTGCTGAATCAACTCTCTTTAAGCTTTTCTGTAGCGGCTACCCAGCATTTGCTGGAACACAGTCACATGACTACACCTGTGTACAAGGGCAGCTGGGAAATGCAATCCATTATCCTTGGCAGCAATGTGTCCAACTAGACATCAGTGTTCTATTATTAGAGAAAATATATTAGAGTGTGGGGTTGGTAATCTCTCCCCAGTGATCTCCACTGTTTTGTGCTTTTTGTTCTCCAGTGGCGCTCACCTCAGGACGTGGTCATAGAGAAACCTGGTAGTTGATTTCACCAAGGGTTGGGGTTTTATCAGATGAATGGTATAAAAGGGCTAAGGAGCAAGAGTCTAGAACTGTCTTGAGAGAGTGACTACAATTATGAACCCTGGATTCTAAACTAGATTTGGGAGAAAAGTGAGGGCAAGAGGAAGCAGATAGATGGAGAGAAAGTAGAGACTTTAATTATCTGTATATTTGGATGCAGTGGAAGAAAGGTTCCTGTGGAAGAAATTGAGCAGTCAAGGTTGAACAGTAGGAGGTCATGGTGGACAGGGAGTGCTAATCATCATTTTAAAGAGAGGAGATTGGATGACAACACTCTGAAGCTCAAGTGAAGATCAGGGAGTGACAAGAAGCCACTATACCTCTTTCCTGTTTCTCTCTCCTCCCCATCTACTTTCCACCTCTATGAGACTGCATCTGAAATATTTCACAGAGCGTATATGGGACACATCTCATGCCCCACTTCACATGCCCTTGGCCCACCTTTAACTCCAGCTATCTCCGCAACAGCCAGGTGTGACCGGACAGCACACCTTCCCAGAGGAGTGACCTGACAGCACCGTGTCTCAACTTCATCAGGAATCTCTCAGGCTCTGCCCCAGTGCCTCTCTGACCTGCTGGGCACTCACATGGATACAAACCTGAAAAGGGGAAAGAAAGTCAACACCCCGTCCTTGACAATTGAGGACCAGGATCTGTCAAGTAAATGCTCCCTCTCATCTCCTTCAAGGTGGACAGTTCTGAGGTACATTCTACTCAGCTCTCTAGACGATCCTAGCAGGACTGAGCCCCAGGTGCCCAGAACAGTGACCAATTTGATAACACTTTTTTTTTATTGTGCTAACACATAAAATAAAATTTACTGTTTTAACAATTTTACAGTGTACAGTTCTGTGGCCTCTAGCACATTCAGTTATGTAACCATCACTACTATCAAGTTCCAGAACTTTTTCATCACTCCCCCCTGCAAAAAATCTATCACCTCCATTCTTCCATATCCCAGCCCCTGCAACCACGAATTTGTTTTCTGCCTCTATGAATTTGCCTATTCTGGATATTTCATATAAATGGAATCATACAATAGATATCCTTTTGTGGCTGGACTCTTTTACTTAGCATACGTTTTTGAGATTCATCCATGTTGTAGCATCTATTAGTACGTCATTCCTTTTTGTGGCTGAATAGTATTCCAATGTATGGATCTACCACATCTTGTTTATCTATTCATCAGCTGATGGACATTTAGGCGGTTTCCACCTTTGACTCTTATAAATAGTGCTGCCACGAATGATAAGACATTTTTATATTGGCTTCTCCTCCCTCCCTGTAAGCATAGGAGATAGAATGGGATGGGGAGAAGCTGGAAGTAGTGAGGCCACTGCAATAGATCAGGTGGAAAGGGGTCCTTGGAGATCTGGACTACGGTAGCAGGGATAGAAACAAGGGGCTAGATTTGAGAAACATGCAGAATTAAAACCAACTGGATCTGGCGACAGTGCGAGTGAGACAGGAACTCAATGGAGAGGGAAGGGAAATGAGGGCGATACCAAAATTTTAACTTAATGTTTTAAATTGTTGCCATTTTTAGAGCTCAAACATTTGATAACTTTGACGGCTAGTATACTAATAATTTCTGTGCTAATATATTCTGCATAAATCCAACCACCTGTAGGGACAAGCATTTCCAAGTTCCTAGAAGCAGGGCCACCCTGAGAGTTTTCAGGGCCCCTGGGCAAATATGTTTCTGCAGGGCGCCTGTCTAAATAAAAATTTAAGTCACCCAAGGTCAGCATGTCAATACCATTCTGGCAGCTCAATCTTGCAAGATCCCTCAAAGAAATATCACATTGGCCAATGGGAGTGATCTGCTTGCTGGGCCACCCTCCTAGAACCTGGTCCTGGCTACAGTGCCCAGGGGCGACCACATAGATGTGAGTCCTGGAGCTCTTCAGGGCATCTGGTCAACTCCACGAGTGTGAGGAGGAGGAAGGTAGGCTGGGGAGGGAATAGGGTATGGAGAGTCAGAGGGCCCCAAAGAGGTAAAACAGAGATTGGGGCCGATGTGGGACCAGGTCCAGGCTGGACAGCACTGCCAGCCACCACTGGAGTGGGATTTAGAAACTGAGGATTGCCGGGAAGATGGCAGTGTAGGAGGACTCTGAACTCACCTCCTCCCATGGACACAACAAATTTACATCTACCCTTGGAAGAATTACCCCTGAGAAGATCTGAAAACTGGATAAAAAGAACCCCCACAACAAGGGACAGTGCTGGCTGAGGAGGAAGAGGCAGAAATTCCCTTCTGGAAAGGAAAAGGCACTTTCTACTGCTGCGCTTCACAGCCAGGAGCAATCTTAAGGTACGAAGCCTTCCCTGGAGGAGTTGGGGATCTGAGCTGGAGAGCTTTGCCACAATAAGCAGCTTTTGGACTCAGCACAACTGAGACAAGTGTCATAATATCAAGTCTTTGCTGGCTATTAACAACAGTGGGGAATACCCCCAGAAAAGGCATCAAACATAAGGGGAAGAAAAAGCCTGCTCTTAAAGGGCCCCCCCACAAATTCACCTGTTTCAGAAAGCAACTTAAAATCACCAGAAAGCAGGGTGCATAGTCCTTTGGTGACAAGAGACTTGCTTGAGAGGCTCCAGGCACATCTTGATGTGAGACAAGACCTCCCCAGGCTGGGACCACCTCCCCAGGGATTGAGACATTGGTGGCACTATTATTGTGACCTAGTACAGGCATGCTGACACAGACTCTGGCAGACGCCATTGGAGCTGTTCCCCTGACCTGTTAGCACAGGGGTCTGCCCCACCCACTAGAGCACCAATTTAATCCAGCTCATCCAGGGCAGGCAGCCTGCCCTACGGCCTGGCCCCACCCAACAGCAAGCCCTTGGGTAATCTGTGGGCCCGCATAGGTGGGGTGTGTGGGACCTCTGCAGTGGGGTGAGTGGGTTTGCTTCAGTGGGTTGGGCTTGCACATAGGGCAGGACTCTGTTGATGGGGTGTGTGGGCCTGTGGGCAGTGGGGCTTGTCATCTGCAGCAGGCTTGTGCTTCTCAAACAGCCACATAGGGTATTGGCCCCACCTTCCAATGCCTGAAATAATTGTGTGCTGCCACACCTGGGGCTGGCCCCACCCAGCTGCACTACTGAGAGAGTTGACAACAGTCTTGTGGGACAGAGGCCTACAGCAATTGTAAGCCCTTGAACTCAGCAACCAGCCATGCTGGGTATCTACTCAGTTAGAAAAATTGCAGCAGGAATGTGCTATTAGACCTTCAGACAGCTGTGCTGGGGCTCCCCATGCCCAGTAAAGTGACTGAAGGGACTATAGCAGCCACATATAACTGAACATTACAACCAGCTGTCCAGGAGGACAGCCTAGCCTCCCCATGCACCTGCAGCAAGAGCAACCCTGCCACAACAGAAGGACGCACATAGCCCACACGGGGGACACTCCCAGAATTTTTGGAACTCTTGATGAGAGGGAAGCACACTGCTGGGCCTCATGAGGCATCTCTTACAAAAGGCCACCTCTCCAAGGAGATGTAGCTGATCTACCTAATACATAGATATAAGCACAGAGAAAGAGGCAAAATGAGAAGACAAAGTAATATGTTCAAAATAAGGGAACAAGACAAATACTTAGAGAAAGAACTAAACAAAACAGAGATAAACAATCTACCTGACAAAGAGTAAAAACTAATAGTCATATGGATGCTCATTGATCTTGGGAGAAGAATGGATGAATTCAGTGATAACTTCAAGAAAGAATTGGAAAATATGAAAAAGAACCAATCAGAAATGAAGAATACAATAATGGACATGAAAAATTCACTGGAGGGACTCAATAGTAGAGTAGATGATACAGAAGAATGGATCAGCAAGCCAGATGAAAGACTAGAGGAAATCACCCAAGCTGAACAGATAAAAGAAAAAAAAATTTAAAAGAACAAGGACAGCCTAGGGGACCTGTTGGACAACATCAAGCACACTAACATCCATATTATAGGTGTCCCAGAAGGAGAAGAGAGAGACAAAGGGGCAGAGACTCTATTCGAAGAAATAATAGCTGAAAACTTTCCTAACCTAAAGAAGGAAACAGACATGCAGGTACAGGAAGCACAGAGAGCACCAAACAAGATAAACCCAAAGAGGCCCACACCTAGACACATTATGATTAAAATGTCAAGAATTGAAGATAAAGAGAGAATCCTAAAAGCTGCAAGAGAAAGGCAACAAGTTACATGCAAAGGAAACCCCAGAAGGCTATCAGTTGACTTATCAGCAGAAACCTTACAGCCTAGAAAGGAGTGGCATGATATATTTAAAGTGCTGAAGGGAAATTCCTACAGCCAAGATTATCATTCAGAGTGGAAGGAGAGATAAGGAGTTTTCCAGACAAGCAAAAACTAAAGGAGTTTATCAGCAAGAAACCAGCCTTACAAGAAATGCTAAAGGGACTTATTTAACTGGAAAAGAAAATACCACAAACAGGAATAAGAAAATTACAACAAAAAAAAAAAACCAACAATAAAATCATGAGTAAAGGCAACTGTACAGTTAAGGTAGCAGATCAACCACCTATGAAACTAGTATGAAGGTCAAAAGAACAAAGTGCTAAAATTATCTTGTCCATGATAAGAGGGTAATGGATACACACACAAAAACTAGAGGTTAAATATGATATCAACAACATAAAATGTAGGAGGAGGGGAATAAAAGAGTAGAGCTTTTAGCAAGAGGTCAAACTTAAGAGAACATCAACTTAATATAGATTGCAATGTACATAGGTTATTATATACGAACCTCATGGTAATCACAAACCAGAGCCCATAATAAATACAACAAAAAATTAAGAGAAAGGAACCCAAATATAATACTAAAGAAAGCCATGAAGCTTGGAAAAGAGCAAGAAAAGAAGAAGGAAAGAGAGAAGAACTGCTAAAACACCCAGAAAAAAAGTAACAAAATGGCAATAAGTACATATTTATCAATAGCTACTTTAAATTTCAATGGACTAAATCCTTCAACTAAAGGACATAGTGTAGTCGTCAGCCCTGGGGCCTGGCGGTTAAGTTTGTGTGCTCTGCTTTGGCAACCTGGGGTTCACTGGTTTGGATCCTGGGCGCGGACCTACACACCACTTGTCAAGCCATGCTTTGGCTGTATCCCACATAGAAGAACTAGAATGACCTACAAGTAAGATACACAACTATGTACTGGGGCTTTGGGGGAAAAAAACAGAGGAAGTTTGGCAACAGATGTTATATCAGAGCCAACCTTCCTCTTGCCCTCCCAAAAAAAGACATAGAGTGGCTGATTGGATGAAAAAACAAGACCCATATGTATGCTGCATACAAAAGACAAACTTCAAACCTAAAGACACCCACAAACTGAAAGTGAAGGGATGGAAAAAGATACTCTATGCAAATGGTAATGAAAAGAAAGCTGGGGTACTGATATTTATACCAGACAAAATAAACTTTAAAACAAAAATTGCAACAAGAGACAAAGAAAGGCACTAGATAATGATAAAGGGAACAATCCAACATTGTAAATATCTATGCACCTAACATAGGAGCGCCTAAATATAGAAAGCAATTATTAACAGACATAAAAGGAGAAATAGACATAAAAGGAGAAATAGACGGCAACATAATAATAGTAGGGGACTTGAACACTCCATTTACACCAATGAATAGATCATCCAAACAGAAGATCAATAAGGAAACATTGGCCTTAAATGATACATCAGACCAGATGGACTTAGTAGATATAGACAGAACATTCCATCCAAAAACTGCAGAATACACATTGTTTTTGAATGCATATGGAACATTCTCCAGGATAGATCACATGTTAGGCCACAAAACAAGTCTCAATAAGTTTAAGAAGATTGAAATAATACCAAGCATCTTTTCTGACCACAACGGTATGAAACTAGAAATCAACTACAGGAATAAAATTGGAAAAGCCACAAATATATGGAGATTAAACAAAATGCTGCTGAACAATGATCGGGTCAACCAAGAAATCAAAGGAGAAATAAAAAATACCTGGAGACAAATGAAAATATGACATGCCAAAATTTATAGGATATAGCAAATCGATTCTAGGGGGACGTTTGTAGCAATACAGGCCTACCTCAACAAACAAGAAAAATCTCAAATAAATAATCTAACAGTGCACCTAAAGGATCTGGATAAAGAAGAACAAACGAAGCCCAAAATCAGTAGAAGGAAGGAAATAATAAAAATCAGAGCAGAAATAAATGAAATAGAAACAATGAAACTAAGAGCTGGTTCTCTGAAAAGATAAATA